CGGTTCGTACAACACGAACGGCAACGGCTCGGTTGGTTGCGCGGCTATCGCCGTCGCCGCCACGACCTGCACCACTCCGGCCGCCGTCGGCGTCCCGGGTGTCAACTCGACCGCTTTCGGCAACGGCAGCAACCCGGCTAACCTCTCCTTCGGTATGGAGTCGGTTAACAAGTGGGAAATCGGCGTGAACTACGCGCTCGGGCCGGGCGTGAAGCTCACCGGCGGTGGTCTGCTGTACACGGCTTCTGGCCCGTCTGCTGCCGTCTCTGGCAACAGCTGGGGTCTGCTGATGGGTATGGACCTGCGCTTCTAGTCGCAGGACAAACCGGAAAATGGAGAGAGCGGGCGAAAGCCCGCTCTTTTCTTTTGTGCGCTGGATGGGCCGTCCGTTAGCGGACGCGGCGTCCCACGAGGTTGACGAACAGGCTGGGGAGATAGGTCCGCGATACCGGCAACCGCTCGGTCGCCTGGCGGGCCAGCACCGCGCGATTGTCCTCATGGTCGAGGACGAGCTGGAACAGGCCTTGTTCGACGGCACCGGCGCGGGGATCGAGTTCGGGCCTGCCGTTGCGTTCGATGCGGTAGGCGACATCCAGCCCGACATCGCCGCCGCTGTAGAATGACGAGGCGATCTCAAGCGGTTCGAACAGGAGCATCAGGCCGCGCGCAGAGAACCGCCAATAATCGTCGGGCGTCGGGTTGAAGGCCTGCGACCAGGCGGCCGCGACATAAGCCAGCCCACCGGGCCTCAGGCAGCGCATGATGTTGCGCGCCGCTCGCGCGGGATGTCGCGTGTGTTCGAGTACATGACAGCAGATCGCGAGATCGAACGGGTCGTCGCCCAGCCTGGTCTTTAGCGTTCGCGGATCGCTGCAGATGTCGGCGACATAGTCGACGTTGGATCCCTCGGCGAGGTCGAGTCCGACGAACTGCGCCTTGGCGCCGAAGCGTTTGGCAACGAGGTTGCGCCAGTTGCGCACGTTGCGCTCCGAGAGGAGCGTCCGGGAGCCCACCTGAAGGACGCGCGGCGGACGCTTGCCGACGGATTGCGCCACCTTGTCGAACAGAAGGTCGATCTCGCGCGTAACGCTCGTGCCGACAACGCGAAGCTCACCGGGGCGCATCTCGCCGGGAGTGTCGCTGCCGGCGGGCATCAGTCCCGTACCACCAGTATGTGCATGCGCCGCGGCCCATGGGCGCCGAGTTCCATTGCCTGCTCGATGTCGCCGGTCCGCGAAGGGCCGGTGATGGTGTTGACGGTACGCGGCATCAGGTTCTTGCCGTAACGCGCGCGCAGGCGGCCCCACACATCCTCGTAGCCGCCGACGATGTCGGACTCGCGCAGTACCACGACATGCGTGTCGGGCAGCAGGTTCAGCGACACCGGATGATCCGGACCGGACGCCATCACCACGGTGCCGGTTTCGGCGATGCCGGCAAAGGCACCCGTGACCGAGACCTGGTCGCTGCCTTCGCCTCGCCCGCGGCGGATCGACAACATCTTCTGGCTGGACCAGTCGTACCCTTCGAGCAGGGGCGAGGGCGCCATCGCGACGCTGGCCGGCAGGTTGTTGCGCGCGAGATAGGCCGTCACTTCGCCCGGCACCTCGGTCGCGCCGACACGCGCGACGGTGGCGTTGAGGGTCTCGGCCCACTGGCAGAACAGGGCGACCTTCTCCGGTTGCGGAAGCTGCGCGCGTGCAACCGACGGACCTCGTGGTGGCGAGGCGAGGCGCGCGTCGACGGCATTGCGGGCTTCCCCGGTCAGCTCAC